CCAAGCCTCTTCACGGCTGGGCGCACGCACGACGGGCCTTTTGTCTGCTTTGTTGTTGCTGTTGTTGGGTAAAATTACTAGAAGAGGGAAATGTTAGTTGTGCTTGTTGTCTGCGCATTTCAATTGCTTTCGCATTGTGCTGCCGCGTAATTGAAAACTTAAGCGGCGTGCGCCTCGAATGCGCCAATCAACAAGCGAGCAAGTGCAAAAGCCGGAGCCCCACATCCTGTGTGTGCCTCCCACACATCCTACCTGCCTGCCTGCCTGCCAGCCACGCCCACGCCTGCCGCAGTTTGTCGAACAGCATTTATTAGCCGCGAATATCTCTAATCGCATGCAATTTGTAGAGCCCACACACGGAACTTGTTAATTTTCACGTCATTTCGGCGCCAAAAGCAGCCACAGGTAACCACAGGGCGAACAGGTGAAAGGAGGGTGAAAGGAGGGCTCCGAGAACTTGCACTGCTCTTAATTGCTGCTTGTTTCTTGCATGTCGCGTAAACTTTTTGTGCACCCACTTACAGTAACGAGCGCCTCCCGAACTACAACTGGAGGGGTATATCAGCTGGCAGAATTGAGAATTACAATGCAAAAATTCATTCGTTTAAACTTTAAACTAGTAGGTGCACAAAGAGATAAAGGAAAAGTTCATAAGATATATAATAGGCATATTATATATCACATCAAATTTCTAGTACTCTAGAGTAGTAGTTCGATGCATTCGTCAGACATATAATTTGAAATAAAATAAAATTTGAAATTATTTTTGGATATCAAAATAACAATTCAAAAGATATAAAATATTATTTGTGTAAGAAAAATACTACAAATTGCCAGACTATATAGCACTTTTATGATCTAATGAATATTTTCTAAGGGGACGGCAGTTTTTGATCAATTATTAACATTTGCGACTCAGTGGGGGATAAATATTTCCATCTGTATATTCTGACATTTTTTAGAGCTCAAAGTTCAGAGATGAATTCGCCTTAAATCGCGCGACTCATACGCTAAACATGTCCATATTTCGTGATTTCTGGCGAAATTCTTATGCGTCAATAACAATTTTTTGAATGTCTCATCACAAATATCATTTATAGCATAACAATATAATAGTTTCTCATTTTGATATCGAACGTTGAAGATCATTCGGCAGTCGTTGGCATTAGAAAGCCAGCCGCGTTTCATGCAGGCAGCGTCGCGTGGCAAGAATTAATTGCCATGTAAATCAGGAGGGCAACAACAGAAATCAAAGCTGGCACGAACAGTGCAAAGTGAATTCTTTCCTTATTTTGTATTTATTTTATTTTGTAACGTGTTGAAAGTGGCGGATTTCGAGGCTCTGTTGGAAGTCGAACACGAAGATTGCATAGGCAGCGAGCAGTTGGAGCATTAGCATTGGCATTAGCATTAGTTGCTGGCCAATTCATCTGGTGGATAGGCTAAAAGAGAGATCTCTATCGCATAGTCCGGGCCTTATAGCGCGCTATAACGGTAAACGATGAAAAGTGCAATGCTGTTAGACGGACAACGCACAACAGCAATTCACAAGCAACAGCAACAGCAGCAACAACAACAACAGCAACAACAACAACAACAGCAACAACAACTTGTTTCAAGCCACGATTCACTTGGAATGGTCAAAGCTATGCAACAAGTGCCAGCAACTGGCCAAGCCAAGTCCAACTGGGACTGGGCCGGGTCGTACAAGAATATCTGTTGCCAATTTTGGCAATCTGCACTAAATTGCCCATTTAAGTGAACCTGACACGATCTCTCCTTCTCTCACTCTCTATCTGTCTGTCTATCTCTCTCTCTCTCTCTCTCTAATTGATTGCAATCAATCTGGTCAGATTTACACCTCTGCAGCACAGTTGACTCTAATCTGACTGCTTATGAGGCCAAGGCGCAATCCGAGCAACAAGCAAGGGCGTTAGCATCAGTGCAGAAACATTCGACATATTGTTTAGGCGGTAACAACATCATGTTGCTGCTGCTGTTGCTGTTGCTGCTGTTGCTGTTGTTGCTGTTGCTGCTGTTGATGACGCTGTGACGTGCCTCAAGTTACATTTCGTGTAACTTAATTCTTGCATTAAAATGCATTCATTAATAGCTGCCATCTGCCTACCCCTAGCTGTTTGTTGTTGTAGTTGCAGTTTTTACTTTAGCCGCAACCGCATAGAAAATTGAATAAACAAATATATAGAAAATGAAAAGTTTGTGGAAAAAGTCATGGAAAATATTTAGTACAGTCGACCTACAACAAAACAGTGAAAAACTTTCCCAGCAACATTGTTGCACAAGTTGTTTGTGGGGCAAACGTTTAAAGACAACTTTTGCAACTGCAAACTGCAACTTTTTCGACATTTTGATTCAATTGAATAAATTAAAAACTATGTATACGGTGTATACTGCAAATAGTATCAAATTTGTTTAGTTCATTTCAATAATTACTTTGTTACATAATCTTCAATTCGTTGCTGCTTAAGTGACCTACTCATAGAGACTACTGAACTTTACAGCTCAGACAATGGCCACACTCAGCCGTGCTATTAATAACTTAAAATTAATTAATCGATTCTGTCTGCGATGAAAACGAACAAAATATTTGATATTGTGAATTACAAATTAATCAAAAGCAGATTTAGTACTTTGCTGTCTGATGTCTAAAGGAATCTAAAGTAAATGACTTTAATAAACTTCTAGGTTTAATTAAGGAATTTTAATGCAATAGATTTTACAAGTGCAAAATAAAGAAGATTGAAAAAGATTTATTTATTTATTTATTATGAACTAGAGTTAATTTACAATTAAAAAACTTAAAACTTAAAAAATTAAGTATATTCAATTGGGAACAGGCTTGAGATTTACGAAAATACAATACATATTTAGTAGGTAATTACTGAGCTAAAAATATGAAAGTTAAGCTTTATATGCATTGAAAATATGTGAAAAATTTAAATGTTTATGTTTTAAATCATTTTTTTTTTAGAATTAAACAACTTATTTTCCAATCTCTTTACTCCATTTAGTGAACTAAATATAACTAGAATAGTTTTTATATTTATATTAAATTACTTAAATATTTTTTTCGTCTCAATACCTCATTAAAGGAGCTAAATATATAAAACTTAAATTTCAAATTTATGTGAAGGAAACAGATATTTAAATCAGGTAATCTGCTGTTAGACAGCCTCAATATTTTTTTTAGATTTAAGTTAAGTTACTTAAATATCAGGGCAATTGCAATACAATTTAGTGAAAGTTAAATTTCAAATTTCTATAAATATTTATATATGTGAAAGAATCAAATATCTCTAGCTGGCAATCTGCACGAAGGCAGCTTGAATCAGACTTTAGTTGCAATAAATATCTCAGTCAATCTCAGTCCTCCATTGGCCACGCCCATGTGCATAGCCGTGTGTACTGGCCAGAGATCGCGTACAGCCTTAAATTTGATAGGCAAACGTCAATTGCGCAACGATTAAAATCGAGATGTTTGCAGTGGCGCGTTGCAAGTGCCACAGCTGCCGCCTTGAGGCAACCTTTTTGGGATTAGCAGCGCGATCCGCTGACGAATCGAATTGTGCGCATTGTCCGTTTCTGGGCGCCCGGGCATGAGTCAGGCCGTCGATTGAACATGTGAGGCACTCAATCAGACTCAGCCTAAGACTCCGACTCTAAGACTCAGGCGTCGTAGTTTATCGATTCGCAGCATTTGCGATTGCGCAATGCGCAGAGCGTCTGATTGAGGAATTGGAAAATAGTTTCTTTTAATGAAGTCCAAATTGGAAAAGCTGAGCCCTGCCTAAGAATGAATTTGTTTATGACTTTTTGGTCGATGCGTTTTTCGGCTTCACTGCGTTTTAACGACGGTGGCATGAAGGAAGCGCCCACACCACACCACACCACGCGCCATGGCACCACTGCGTACCACTGCGACTTCAATACGAAGCAGTTTTTTTTTTTTTTTTTTTTTTGGCGGGTGGGTTAGACACGTTACGGTCCATTGGTTTGCCCCGTTCAGCAGTCGATTGCGATGGAACAGCATTTTTGGGCAATTCAAACAAATTGTTAATTGCTTTTGATTGCTGGGGCGGCACAGCCCACGCCTGCCCACGCCTCAAGAAGCGGGCAGCCGTCCAAAAACTTAACCAATCAATGAAATATTAGAACTGACGCGAACTTTCGCTCTTGAACCTCGTTGCAGATGAAATCGGACGCGTATGAGCTGCACAACTACGCCGACTCGGAGATGGAGCTGGACACAGATCAAGCTGAGCCACTGAGCGCGAAGGATTCACGTAAGCGGAAGGCAACCACTGCGGCAGGCAGTCGACGGGGCGAGAAGTACTCGCTGCGCCAGAAGAGACAGCGCCGCCTGCCCAGCGATCTGCCCGCCCCGATAGCCGCGCCCGCCCYAGAGCTRCAGCCTGCAGAGACCGTCTCCAGCAMGGCCAARGCCAAGAGCCCGGYCAAGACGAAAGCGCCTCCGCTCAGCAAGTATCGCCGGAAGACAGCCAACGCCAGGGAGCGCACGCGCATGCGGGAGATCAACATGGCGTTCGAGCACCTGCGACACTGTGTGCCGCAGTCCATTACGGGGGAGGATGCGGCCAACACCAACGAGAAGCTGACCAAGATAACGACGCTGCGGCTGGCCATGAAGTACATTGGCATGCTGACTGAGTCCCTGCAAGATCCCAGCTACGAGAGCGAGTTCCTAGTCGAGTGCCTGCGCGAGAGTGCCAGCCGGGAGGCGCACGTCAGCGTGGACACCGAGCCAGATCTGGAGTTGGACATTGAGCGGGAGCGGGTGCGGGAGCCAACGCCGCCAGCCAAGCCTAAAAAGCCAGCCAAGTCCAGCAAAAAGGCGCCTGCCAAGCGCCAGTGCAAGCAATCCAAGGCAGCTGCAGCAACAGCCACGCCCACAATGACAAATGCCAAAAACGTGCCCATTAGCTCGCCGGAATCGTGTTATGCATCCTCTTCCGTGGGCTCGCCCGCCTTTTGCGCAGCCGCCTCCTCGCCCAGCTCGGCCTACGCATCGCTCTCCTCAGCCGCCTCTAGCAGCAGCAGCAGCAGCAGCGGCAGTGTGCACGGCAGCGCAGCGCTGGATACGGACAGCCTGCTGGGCATGCAAGCGCTGGACGAGCTGAACACACTGCTGCTGGAGTCGGACAGCGACTCGCTGCACTGCCTCAACAGCTATCATCCTGAGCTGCTGGTATCCGCAGACGCCGCGCTGCCTTCCCGGGGCGACTTGCCCATATCGATGAACCTGACGCTGGAGAAGCCGGATGTGGAGCTGAGCYTGCGATTGCTGGACCACTCGACAGACTCCTTTGACTTTGCCAGCGATCAGCAGCCATCGGCCTGCATCAGCCCGTTGGCTGCTCTGGACGGCTTCCATCCATTCGCGGATCTGCTGCACGGCGAGTTCTCCGATATATTTCTGACGTGACAAGCGCAGCAGAGCGCTGCCTAGATTATTATTTAATTAATTAATTATTTACATATATGTACATCTGTAATTTGTTACTTGCTGCGTTTAAGTTTAACCTAGTTCTAAAAGCAAAGGCGCGTTTACCTAACCTCATTCAAGCAATAACCGCGGAATTCATCGTGTCATAGCAGGCAGGTAACTGCACATGCATGCTCATAGCAGACAGCCCATGTCCATATGTTTCTCTGATAACCAAATTAGCCACTTAAGCATTTCTCTAAAGCATTTTTTTTACACCCTATACACAACTTGAATACTGTAAATAAATCACAACATTTTGTTCACTGAAACATTATATTTCATTCAACAAATGTACACCGAACAAGCAACAACAGTACACATATACAGCACACAAAGTCCACAAATATACAAACACTGTGTACAAATTTCACGGTTTACACACTTGTTCTTTCCCTAAGATGACGAGGTACTATCCCGAAACTGACTTTCCGGAGGCATGGAAAATATTAAAGCCGTTTATGCTCAGCGACGACGCTCTGATAACCATCCGGAACTCAATGASSCGTGAATTACTGAACGGTCTGGGCAAGGATACCCATAGTCGATCCTCCATACCCTGTTGGCTGAGTTATGTSCAGCAGCTGCCGACGGGAGATGAACGAGGTCGTTTCCTTGCCTTAGAGATGTGGCCCTCGAACTGCCGCATTATGCTGGTCAAATTCAGCAGTGAGAATGACATCTACATGAGCTCCAAAAGCGTTATCATACCACATACGATAGCTGCATCTCGTGGTACTACGCTTTTTAATTTTTTAGCCCATAATATTGCAACATTTGTCAGAGCAAAAAAAGTTGAGAGGGATAATCTTCCAATGGGAATTGCGTTCGCATTCGACCTGAACAAGCTGTCGCTGGATGTGGGCATTCTGATCAGGTGGACTCAGGGGTACGGTGCTCAAAGCGCCATTGGCAAGAATGTGGTGCAGTTGCTGCGGAACGCCTTGGATGAGTTCAAGGATGTAAAAATAAACCTGAACTCGATTGTTAACATTTCCACCGGTTCCCTGATGGCACTCGCCTGGTCCTGTCCCGAATGTAGAATTGGCCTTATTGTTGGATTAGCCACAAATGCCGCCTATGTGGAGCATGTTGACGAGTGCGAAAGGTTTGAAGAGGATACAAAATACCCCCTGATGATCGTCAACACCGATTGGGGTAATTTTGGTTCTAACGGTCACTTGGACTTTGTGCGCACTGAGTTCGACAAGATAATTGATGATCAGTCGAACAATCCGGGAATGAAATATTATGACAAATGCATAAGTGCACTGAATTTAGGTGAACTAGTGCGCCTTATAGTTGTGCGTCTTATAGATATGGGAGTCATTTTTAAGGGTGCAAACATGCAGTCTATAGGAATTCGATGGAAAATGGAAATGAAGTCGATTTTGGCTATCGAGTCAGATCCACCAAATGTTTACACACAAGCTCAGAAGGTCATGGACAAATTCGGTATTCATAACTGCAATGAACGTGATTTGGCCACTTTACGCTTCATATGCAAGATAGTCGGCCTCCGCTCCGCCAAGCTGGTAGCTGCTGGCTTAGCCTGTCTGATCAATCGGATGAACTACCCCAAAATTACAATTGCGGTTGAAGGTGGTGTATATCGCTTGTATCCCACTTACCAGGAGAACCTTTATAAGTATACCTTAATGCTGACAAATCCCCAGAACAAATTTGAAATCATCGCCTCAGAAGACAGTCCAGGAGTGGGTGCTGCCATTGTGGCTGGTCTAGCATCAACATTATCATCCAAATAAGACGTTTTCATGTAAAATTTTTGATCCTGATATTGAATATTGAACTACTTAAATACATCCACATATTTAATAGCTATTAGAAATTGTGCGCTCTGACTTCAGCGATTCAAGTAATCAGAGCTATTAAAAAAGCTAACATACTGGACGTTTGGCCTCCGTCAGAGTAGTTAAGTTAGCTAAAATCCGTCCGTCCATTTATGTGCTCCTCACTAAATGCACTACTTCTAATTCTGAAATTAGTTCTTAATAAGAACCATAACTTTTAAAGATTAGGGAATAATACGCAAAAAGGGGCAGTTAAGTCATTAATTAACAGTAGATCTTTTCAGATTTACCATACTTTTTTTCAATCGTCAACGAGTACAACTAACTAATACGAAATTATCAATTTAAATAAACTTCAAAATATATTTGTATCGAAATTGTTTGTTTCATTCAACACTATAAAAAGGCAGACAATACAGCATAACTTTCCAGAATCAGAATCAAAATTTCCCGTAAATATTTTTTTGAATAAGATGGAAGTATATGATCCCGAAATAGACTTTCCAGAGGCGTGGAAATTATTACAGCCATTTATGCTCAACGACGAGACTCTGATATCCATCCGAAACTCAATGTCACGTGAATTACAGAACGGTCTGCTCAGAGACATGCACGCWCGATCCTCAATACCCTGTTTACTTAGTTACGTACAGCATTTGCCGACAGGGCACGAGCGAGGGCGTTTCCTTGCCCTGGAGATGTGGCCCACCAACTGCCGCATTATGCTGGTCAAGTTTAGCAGCGAAAAGGACATCTACATGAGCTCCAAGTGCGTCATAGTGCCCCATACGGTAGCCGCATCGCGGGGCACTACGCTCTTTAACTTTCTGGCCCATAACATAGCGATATTTGTGAGAGATAAAAAGGTTGAGAAAGATAATCTCCCAATGGGAATCGCGTTCGCTTTTGAGCTCAACAAGCTAGCCCTCGATGTGGGTATTTTGGTTAGATGGACCAAGGGCTATGGTGCTCAAGGCGCGGTGGGCAAAAACATTGTGAAGCTGCTGCAGAACGCGTTGGATGAGTACAAGGATATACGCATMAATTTGAATTCAATTGTCAACATYTCCGCCGGMACACTGATGGCGCTTGCCTGGTCGTATCCCAACTGTAAGATCGGCTTGATCGTAGGCACATCCACAAATGCCGCCTATGTGGAGCAGACTGATGCGTGCCAAATGTATGAAGGGAATACAAAACAACCCTTGATGATCATCAACACAGAGTGGAGAAACTTTGGAGCCAATGGCCATTTGGACTTCATACGCAATGAGTTCGACAAGTTAGTTGACGCAGTGTCCAACGAACCGGGCATGAAGTTTTATGAGAAGTGCATCAGCACGTTGTATTTGGGCGAGCTTGTGCGCCTCATAGTCGTGCGTCTAATGAAAATGGGAGTAATTTTTAAGGGTGCGAGCATGGACTACTTTGATATTCAGTGGAAAATGGAGATGAAATCGATTATGGCTATCGAATCGGATCCACCTAATGTTTATACAAGTGCGCAGTTAGTCATGGAAAAGTTTCG